TCTGCAGAGACGGTGTCGGTCGACACCAACCTTGCGTCTATGTCGGTCAACACCAATTTCTTGACAGGTTTTCTAGACAGCAGTTTCTGGACAATGAGTAGTTCATGTCTTTTTATGGCTGGTTTATTTAATTTGGTTAATCTGATGCATGTTGGTTTGGTTTAATATGCTTGTGTGTATAGCCTTGTAGATGGGAGGATCGCTTCGAAATACTCACGCGCATCTCATTGTGTTTTGTGATGCAGGTAAAGTGTGATGTACAATCATGGCAAAGAGGAGAAGGATGATCTAGGATCTCGGTTGTTATGTTTAATTGTTGTTGGAACCTGGTTTAGTTAAATTTTGGTTATTGAATGATTGGTTAATTATTATTATGATTAACTGGAGTTGGTTTAATATGTTTCCAGTGTGCATGATAGTTTATTGTTCGGTTAATTCGGTTAGGTTAATTATTTGGTATGGTACTACTAATTAATAAATTTTAAACAAAACTAGAATTCGGACCTGGTTACAGCGCGGGAAAAGTTAGCAGACTATTGTTAATATGTTTTATTTTACTAAGTGATACAAATGTATTTTAAGATTTGTTTTTCCTTACAAATATATCATTTTATATTATGATTTTGCAATTTTGTGACTAATTTTTCTAATAAGTTTGTACTGAATATTATCCAAAAACAGTAGCGAGTATGGTTAGTGCAAGAAGATGTGTTAAATAAATGGAGTTGAATATGGCGAATCATGCATGTCTGTAACGGATAAATGTTTTGAATGACCAATCTATAACGGATTGCAATCGTAAAAATATTATTGATTACTCGCTCTACTATATAATTGTGAGTTTAAACAAAAAACCCGTGAATTACATGTGATTGATATATTTGATACATAGTATAATATATTATAAATTCCATTTAAACAATATTTGAATAGTCTATTTTGTTAATAAGACTTATATGTACCATTGTTAAAATTTGATTTATTTATGTTATTTAAGCCCCCTAAAATGAATAATTTGCATATAATTTATATCTGGTATTACAAAGTATTTAATTGTAAAACTTAAGTGGTGAGTATCTTGTTCTAACCCATTAGAAAAATATTGTGATTCGTTTCTAATATTTTAAATATTCTATAATTTTTTAAAATTTGAATATTTTAAAGGTTTCAATATTTAAATATTTTAAACCTTTAAAACAATTAAAAGTATAATATTTTTAAAATTTGATATGCTCAAAAAAAAAATTTCTTAATTCGAACAAAAATTTTGAAACTGAAATCCCGATAAGCATACTGGTCATGTATATAATGATTTAAACCATTGTCCAAAATAATTAACCGATGTGGTATGTATTATACCTTTTTCTATCAATAAATTATAATATAAAATTTCATGAAAATATTTAACCAACCGATTTTAGATATCCAAAGTTTATTAAATAAGATTACAAGTTTATAATAAGATATCCAGTTAAATATTCGATTTTGAAGTATCTAATTGTTTAATTTTGGATTATTTTTTAATTTTGACCCAATCCATCAACCCATGTAAAAGTGTACTTCTCTTTTACTATATAGGGGATAAGTCGGGTCTTTTCAACTCTATTGTCAAAAAAAAATTTCGATCACTTCATATTGAATCCACCAAACCCAAATTCTTCTGATTCAAATGAGTTTTGATCTCAAAAATTTTTTTAGTTTGATTTATTAAACAATTAGCCTAAATTATCTCATTTTTATTTAACTGAGAAATTATAAAATCCACAGTAATAACTTTCAAATCCATTAGTGATGTCTTTCAAATCCATTAATAATAACTAGAGATGGACTTGTAAACATAATTTTTCAATATAGTATTTATAACTTATACTTATTTTGGTTGGATTTCATCCATGGATGAATTTTTGCAACAATAGTGATTTCACCATAAAATTCGGATTGGTATGCTAACAGATCGGGATTGACATGTCGGTGGATCGGGATTGACATGACGTTAGATCTGGATTGACATGACGTTAGATCTGGATCAATTGTAAACCCATGAACTATAGAATCACATAAATTCATCAAAAAAAAACTTTTCAAAACGAATTACCTAAATTGTCAAGGTGGAAAAATTGCATCTCGTAACGGTTTTAATATGTTTTGACATGTAAACAACTCATCCCGTAAAAGCCACATGAGCAATATCTGCATTTGTCTCGTTTGAATTTTCAAAACCCGTGGATAACATGTTACTCGAAAAAATAAAATTTCTAATCTATAATATATGTTTACAGGACTTGATAAGAGATTTAGAATATAATACTCTTATTTTCTGTTTGGATATTTAAAGTTTTAAAAAGTGAATTTTCTGATCATAGAATATATATATCATCCAAAATAGATAGTTACTTGTTCCAAAGTTGACAAATATTCAACTGATATTTTGAGAACTGAATATAGCTACCATAAAATATTTATCTTTTTATCCAAAATTCATGTATCACATTCATACCCGTACATATGTATGGATTTATATTCTTTAATATAATTGTTTAATATAAAATTTATAACTGAAACTTTGATGTGTTGTTTTCATTCAATTGTGAATGTTTGATTGAAATAATAATAGTTTCACTAAGAAATTCGGATCGACGTGAAGGTGTATCCGGATCAAATGTGAACTAAATTAGTCATGGACACGCATGTACGTTCATGACTGTATTTCAATAGTTCTGCTATAGCAAGGGTTTGGTATAGCTGTAAAAATATATTTGATAAAATTACATTCATAAAAATACACATTCATAATGTATATTTCGATGGACTAACCCGTAAATAAATGAATTTGAAAAATATGAGTATCACAAACCAACATGAGTATTATTAAAATATCATAAAACTCTAAAATATATGGGCGAATTTCGAAAATACCATTTTTCCAATACCACTTTTAAAGATACCCCTTTTCAAAATTTATCAAAAGTCACTAAAAATTTGAAATTTATCCAAACCTTTTAAAAACCTTATAAATGTTGTTTAGAACGTCTTAAAACTTTATAAATATTTAGATTGAGTCTCCCAGTAGTAATGATGATCTAGATGTACTTTATAAGGTATATAAAAGTTTACAATTTTTCATTTTTGAAAAGGGGTAATTTTGAAAATGGATAGAAAATGGGAGTATTTTTAAAAAGGAGTACACCAAGAGGTGCATTTCTCAAAAATTATCAATATATAGTTATATTCTACATCATATATATAATATATTAGATTGTTAGATTTTGATTTTTTTAAACAACTATGCTGTTAATAAGTTTTTCTTATAAACAATTAAAGAAATTTTATATTTTGAACATAAATTTTAGTTTTAAAAATCTTTGGAAATAAATTATCTTCAAGATATTTAAAAAAAATTAATAATATAATAATACTTAAAATTATAAGTTTTAAATAGATTTTAAATAATTCTAATATTTTAAACTTTACATGTAGTTTAAATACTTATAATATATGAAAATATTTTAACTTAATAGAATGTTAAAAAATACTGTTATAAATATTTATATATTTAAATAGAATGTTAAATTCCAAAATCTTTAAATATTTAAATATTTCTAATATTTTTTACTCTACAGATTTTAAATATTTATAGTAATTTTAACTTTCTTTGGAGTTGAAGCATTATAATATTTTTAACATTCTATTATGTTGAAATATTTCGATATTGGATCTTATTAAATATTAAATATTTTTAATATTTTTAAAAATATTAAATTTTCAAAAAATATAATATTTTAAAGCTTTTTAATTACTAAATATTTAAAATTTTCAATTTATTTTATTTAAACTTTTAAAAATTTAAGTACTGTATTATAATATTACATATATTTGTTTAAATTAGGTAGAAATATAGAGAACTTTTTAGAAAAACCCCTTTTGGTGTACCCCTTTTAACATATATCCCCTTTATCTATCCATTTTCAAAAATATCCCTATTTAAGTATAGAAAATTCTAAAGTTTAATATAGTTTATAAGGTACTTTTATACAATAACTACTACTGGGAGATTCAATACAAATATTTTAAAATGTTTTAAATAGTTTTGAATCGTTTTTATAAGTTTTATAAGGTTTTTAAAAGGGTATATGCGGTTTTTATAAGGTTTTTATAATTTTTTACGCTATTTATGAAAGGTATATAAATTTTTATACACATATAAAGGTAATTTGTGTATATATTTATAAGCTTACACACATATTTGGATAAATTTCAACATTTTTAGTGGTTTTTTGATAAAGTTTGAAAAATTGGGTATTTTATAAAAGAGGTATATGAAAACTGAAAAGTGGTATTCTTGAAATTTCCCTAAAAATATATTAGAAAAAACTATAACATGTATATATATATATATATATATTAATATGCCACTTTTTATGGTAACAAACTTATTATGATTTTCATGAATATTGGTTAGTAATGACTTATGAGTTTTGATATTTTATGTATTTAAAACTGATTTTTTCTATGGAAAATATATTTTGCTGTCATTAAATCTGTTTGGCTATGGTTTGACAACATATTTTATTTCATTTTCTGATTTAATATGTTTGGCTACACATATAAAAAAAAATGCTCCCACGTTCAATGCATTAGAAATCCATGAAATTTTCACATCCATTAGTATTTTCAAAAGTCAAATCCATTAAAAACCTTTGTCCAATAACACCCCTTTAGAGTTTTGAATTTATTAGGTTTACCGCCATTTTTTTGCTAATTTTGGTTTGTGACCTTTAGTAGAGTCATGTAATGGGACTACCCTTCTAAACCTATTTCTTGGAAGTAGTGTTACTAAAGCCTTGCGTCATATCATGCGTTAATTAAGTTGCTGGAGCTTTGTGAACGTAACAAACTCGTTTTATTTGCTCGTTGACATGCGTCGTTGCCTAAGTCACTAGGAAAAACCAAAACCAAACCAAACCCAACTCTTATTTACGTCTTAGCCATAGTTCCATCTCTGAATTCAATCTCTGAGATCAACTTATTTACTGTACAGTGGCAGTTATCATGTGGTCTTTTCAGGTAAAAAGATTGAAGTGAAATACCGCACACATCAGTCTACACGAGTAGAGCTTTCTATTCTCCAAAATCAGTGCTTGGTAGGCAATCCAAACAAACAACATGTAGTATGCAAAACATATCCCAGAGTAACTCAAATTGTAATCGAAGAATCAAACCATGAATCACCTTTGAAGCACCCGATACAAGCCAATAAAGATAACTACTCGATCATGATGCAAGTTATCACAGGAGATAGCTTCTCTCCCCGAAGGCAATGAAGAACAAAGAAGGATCTTCAAGGGACGATTTCTCAAGGTAAGGGCGATGAAGGAGCTGCTACGGTCTTGAAAAGAATAGTACCTCAATATGGTTATAGCCTCCAAAGTACAGACTTTGATAGAAGCAGAACAAAACATGGATCACAAATTCTTACTCGTAAAATAAGAGAACAAAGCAATGATCTAAGCTTCATGTGTTATATTGATCAAAATAATCTTATGATTATAGCTACTGACTTTTACAAACAAAAATCAAAAGCTTAATAGATTTGTGTAACACCATCATACACTACGATTAGGAAATATGCAAGAACTTATGATGCTTACAGTCTTACGGATATATAATGCCAATTTGCTTTATGATTATTACCAGATGCTGTGCATCTCATAACAAAGCTAACGTATACAAGACACAGTTAACAAATCTGGTAAATATAACATCTTTGATTGAGCAGAAGAGAAAATTTCCTTGGTGTTTGTCTCTAACTAATTATGCCGAGAAAGAGTTGTAGCATGATTGGCGAAATCTAACTAATCTACTAACATTACGCAAGAATTGCATCAAATCAAGATTTACACGAGAAGTCTTAAAGATCAATGTAGCAACAGAAGAAAGGGACACTGCAATGTTCCTCACCTCAAAGAATTTACTAGTGAAACAGGACAGGTGTAGACTATGTTACTGGGATGGACCAAACGCTGCGAACATAGCCTGTCAACTGAAAGGTGGAGACATAGAGCGTTTCAGACAAACTTTTGCAAATAAGGATGTCTGTCATGGAAACAATTAAACACAAAATACAGACGAAAAGAAGACATACCGCGGCTGTTTAGCATTTCAATGGCTGGATAGCATTTAGCAGTCATGGCTGATACAAGCAATTAGCTGGTGGCACATTTCTCACACGATCAATAAGTAGAGAAAGTTCTTGGTTAGCGTAATCAAGTCGATCCTTTGAGATCATAGACTCTGTGAGGAGAGTTTCTGTGAGCGAATGAAACGTTTGAGCACAGTCATCGCCAATGCCCTGGCCATTTTGATTCTCTGCAGCAACGTGAGGACTGTCCTGTCTCCATCGTAACAGAAAGTACTGTTCAGGTATATGGAAGCAGTTTTTCACAGTCAGTACCCGAAGAATATGCCTGCACAAGATTCCTGAATGCTCAAATTCCTTGCATGAACATTGGATCTCCTCATTTTCCGGGTTCCAAATCACACAACATTCCCCTTCCATTTTCTTAAAGTGATGTACGATGTATGGACCATTGGCCATCTCAGACACAGCATACTGCACAGACAAAACCATTTCGTTTTGTAATACGCTAAAGGCGAAAGGCGTCAGAATCTCCCTTGCATGATCTTCCATAGGCATACAGGTTTTCAAGCTCGAATAAGTGAATCGTGGCGGGATTTGCTTAGCTAGACATGCAGCAGCACTGACCTGCAATGCTATCTATAATAATGAATCAAGGCAGCAATGAAATAGTACTGAAACTGAATAGACTGTAAGTTTCATATGATTCACAAACCTCTTCAAGTAATAGTTGCATGCATGTCGGCCCAGAAACAATTCTTTTCAAGAAAGATTCTATAGATAGATTAAAGTCAGGGGTCATAGTTTGAGCAACAAAATGTTCTCTGATGTAACAAGGTGACCAGGATGCTCGGCACGAATAAAGCAAAGCCGCATGTCTATCTGGAACAAGACCAAACCGAGTGACAAGGAGATTCCACTGCTGTTCAAATTCATCTACATTCCCTACACGGCATAACATCTCAAACCCAGCTCTAAATTCATCATAGTGCGACCCAAGAGTCTGAGAAAACCAGCTTGCTAGCTTGGAGACTATGTGCCACATAAATACCACATGGTTAGTATTAGGCATCTCCCTTGCAATAGCATCTTTAAGTCCAGTATCTATATCCGTCAGTATTGTCTGAGGATGCCGCCCCCTCATGAAACGAATAAATGTCTGTCAAAATAAGACAGAAATGAGATCACAACCACAGCATATATGTACTCCAATCTCGACAATTACAATAAGTTTGCCTGCACAAACCTGTAAAGCCCATGTGAAAGAATGACAACTTTCATCTTGCAGCAAAACACATCCCAAAAGAATCGCCTTACCATTGTTGTCTATCCCAAAAAACACCCCAAGAAGCAACCCATAAGGGATCGACCGATAAGTAGTGTCGAAAACAACCACATCCCCAAACAAAGAATACGCCCGAACACAATCCCCATAAGCCCACGCAAGGTTTTCAACTTTCTGATTCTCATCAGACGTACAATCATAACCAAATTCCATATCTCTCTCAGCCAAAACTTTACAAGACTCAAGAAGCTCAAGCGTATCACTATCCCGTTTCTCACTAAGAAAAGCATCATTCTCTTGAACACTCTTCTTACACGCCCTAACAAAGTTCCTAACATCTTTCTCAATAAACGGCAACTGCCCAGCCTGAACACCTTTCTCTAACTCCAACAACTTAACAATCCGATTCACAGGAAAACCAGCTTTAGACAACAAAAGAATCCTATCCTGATCATCTTGCTTAATCTTCCTATAAGCAGGAAGCAACCTAACTTGATCATCTTCCAAAAGCTCATGGTTATGAACATTACTAAACTGTGAAACATACCAATGACTCACACCACCAACAACTTCTTTAGTCAAATACAACTTACCATCACATCCACATCTAACAGACTTACGTTCCCGTGGATGCTCTACATTAGCTTTCTTCCTAGGTTGATTAAAACCAGAACGATAACAAACGAAATCTCTCCTATACACACCTAAGTTCTGACTCTCCGTAGACCGAGCTTTCCTAATCGAGAACCCACTCTTCCTAGCAAATGTACTGTAATACTCAAACGCTTCGTCGTCTGTTCCGAAGATTTGACCAACATAAGGCATAAACACAGTATTATCATATAGTGATGAAACTGTATTACTCGTTGTTGTTGTTGATGATGATTCGAGCTCGCTCTTCGTTATTGATTCGTCTCCTTCGAATCTTATATAGCATTTCCAATCACCACAAGGACATTGTTGACGACGGATCCAGATGTTGTTTAACGGCTTCATCGCCATTGTTAGGGTGTGAAAGCTTCGAATTGGTATGGTTTTGGAAGATGATTGGATCGAATTTGAAAGCAATTTAGAAACCCTAGAAGATGATTGATTGGGTAATTTTGGGAGGAGGATTTTGAAGAGAAAGCTTAGGAAAGGAATTGGATTAAGGTTTATCGTTGTGGGTGATGCAATACTCTCTTTGCCTTGTGGTTTCGAAGTTGAGTTTGACGAACGCCATTGTTTAACTCTTTTGTTTCCTCTCTCTCTTTTGGGGGAAAAATGGATTCAGGAAAAAACTAAGGGGATGTTATTCAACCTTGTATTTTAAATTGATTTGAATGTATTTCAAAATCTAGCGTTATTTAACAATGTATTTTAAAAACCACAATAAAATCTGCTGTTATTGGATTTAACATTTGTTGGATGTATTTTAAAGTATTTTAAAACAAGCGTTATTCAATTTTCAATGGATTTTGTTTTCTTTAAGATTTTAATGTATTTTGCATCTAAAACACGTACAAACACAATCCTAACATTTTTCAAAGGATTTCATCTCTTTCATACCAAATCCATCTTAATTGTATTTAAAAGCTATTGAACTTTAAAATCCACCCGTAATTAAAATCCCTTAAAATTCTCCATCCAATAACACCCCCTAAACGTGCTCAAAGTCAAACCAAACTATAATAGAGAATTTGTTAGAAATACCCTTCTTAGGGTACCTCTTTTTAAAAATACCCCTGTAGGAGAAGCATTTTTAAATATACCTTTTTTAACAATTTTAAGACAATTTTACCCTTTTATTAATGACCTAAACTTCTGATTCTTCTCCTCTCTTCGCCGTCAACGAAATCTCTCCTCCACCGTCGTCTTCTCTTCTCTCCATCGCCATCAAATCTTCTTTGCTCGTGAATATGAGAGCTCGTGAAGTTTCCACTACCAACTGGAGTTTCAGCCTGATCGTTCTCCACCATCTCCCTCGTTAAAATTATTACAAGGTTTTAAAATTATTAAAAAGTTTTTATAAAGTTTTTAAAAGGTTTTAAATATCCTTTAAAATATTTTATATACTTTATATGGTTTTTACAAGGTTTTTAAAAGGTTTTAAATATCCTTTAAAACTACCTTATAAAAACCTTATAAAAACCATATAAAATTATTTAAAAAGGTTTTTATAAGGTATTTAAAAGGTTTTAAATACTTTGTAAAATATTTTATATACTTTTCAAACTCTTTAAAAACCTTTTAAAAGCAGTATAAAATCTTTATAAAAGCCTTCAAAAATACCAAATTGAGCCCTATCATTAAACAACAGTCATGAGTTGGATACTTGGATCCAACATTATTCAAAAGCTAATGGATTTGTGTTCTCTGCAACTACAACTTTAATTTTAAAATGGAATGCATTACCTCAATGCAAGTCAAGTCTTGACTGCTATAGCTCTTGACTGTTACAAACTTACAATCCATCATATATATCACCACCAAACAAACTCATATAAGTTACAAAAGAGAAACATCATATAATAAATTAAGGGGCCAGTAGATGATGACTAGTCTGAGGAGAGGACAGAACCAGACCATTCAATCTTGGTCGAAAGCTCCCATTCTTCGCCTTGTAAGCGTGGTTCAATGGAAAACTCAACATACCAAAGCTCCAAAATCAGATCAGGACCTTGAGGCCATGCTTCCTAGAAGATGGCCATCATCTCATGATTCTAGATGCAAAGTTTGATTATATCAAAACCAGAGTGTTGCTTCTACAGCTCTTCCAAGCCCTTGCTTCCTGGTAATATAAAATATACAAATTCCAACATGAACATAATTATATATCTCTCGTACAGCCCAAACATGATGATAACATGTTCTCTATGTTTTATTGCAAAAGTTCAGCTCACTAGTTCTTCATTTTTATTACCAAGATTCCACATGCACAATTGCAAAAAGTTAATTAACGAATCTGAAGACTACTCTTGACAACTCAGAGAGTATTTGTGGCTATTTTAGTAGCAGTTGCAGCACTAAACGCAGCTATTACCATTCAGTTTTTATTAAACGGATGGAGAAACAATAACTCAAGCTATTAAGAAGGTTTTCAGTTTAAACTAAGTACTAAAATCCATATCATATAGAATTCTCTTTCCACAACTACTAAAGATCATACTTAATATATGCTTCTCATCCATTAGTCAACAACAATTTGCATAAAAACAATAAGCTTTTCTTTTTGGCATTTTATCAAACACCTTATGTGCGCTCAATGAATCCTTCTATTTTTTGTAGAAATCACAGAAACTTGTATCCTAAATGCATCATTATCAAACCCAAGACAAAATCACAAAAGCAAAGAAGAAGATAAGATCAAAGCTCACCTATGACAGCAAAGACAACAACTCTATTTGTTGGCAACAGAAGGAAGGTACGACAACTACGTAGAAGATGGAGAGAAGAGACGACGGCGATGGTGAGAAGAGACGGCGGCGATAGTGAGAAGAGACGACGGCGATGGCGAGCAAAGAAGATTTGATGGCGATGGAGAGAAAAGAAGACGACGGCGGAGGAGAGATTTCGTTGACGGCGAAGAGAGGAGAAGAATCAGAAGTTTAGGTCATTAATAAAAAAGGTAAAATTGTCTTAAAATTGTTAAAGAGGATATATTTAAAAATGCTCCTCCTACAGGGGTATTTTTAAAAAGAGGTACCCTAAGAACGGTATTTTCAACAAATTCTCAAAATATTATGTATTACTCGCTCTACTATATAATTGTGTATTTAACAAATAAATTGTGAATTACATGTGATATATATAGTTTGATACATAATATAGTGTAATGGTAAAACTTATTCGTATTACAAATTTGATTTCATTAATATTTGAATAGTATATTTTGTTAATAAGACTTTGTATGTACCATTATTAAAATTTGATTTAGTTATGTTCTTTAAGACCGGTAAAAATAAACAATTTTGCACATAATTTATGTAACATTTGGTATTATAAAGTATTTAATTGTAAAGCTTAAGTGGTGTGTATCATGTTCTGACCCGTTGCAAAAATATTCTGACCAGTTTCTAATATTTTAAACATTCTTTATTTTTTTATATTCGAATATTTAATAGGTTTCAATATTAAATTATTTTAAACTTTTAAGACATTTAAAAATTAAAATATTAAACTTTTTAAATTTTTATATGCGCAAATAAATAACTTTATTAATCTGAACAAAAATTTTAAAATTAATCCCTATAAGTTAAAATTCATGCTCATTCATAGTTAGAAGTATTATTGGTCATGTTAATAATGATTTAAAACCATTTTTGAAAATATTTAACCGATGTGGTATGTCTTACACCTTTTTCTATCAATAAACTATAATATAAAATTTCATGAAAGTATTTAACCAACCCGCTTAGATTTAACCAAAATATTTAACCAAATATTTAACCAACCTGTTTTAAATCCAAACTTTATTTTAATAAGACTTCAAGTTTATAATATTATTTTTGTCAAGCGAATAATAAATATCCGTTTTGAAAAATTCAAATTGCAACATATGCAAAAAAGATGAATTTTGATTCTATATTTGTATTATATATTTTAATATAATAAGTTAAAATAAAATCATATAAAAGTGAAAGGGGAATAAGAAATAATTTTAATTTATTATTTTAATTTAGTTTGTTAAATATTAGGAAATCAATAATCTAGATATGGAAACAATATAATCTGTTCAGAAAGTATCCGATTTATATTCGAACCCAGTTAAATATCTGATTTTGAATTATCTAATTGTTTAATTTCGGGTTAATTTTTAGTTTTGACTTGACCCATCATCACTAATGTAAAAGCGTACTTCTCTTTTACTATATAGGAGATTTATATGGGTTCCCTCGTTTAGAATCACTTATTAAAAATGGTGTTTTACTTCAATAAATGGGTATCTATTTAGACCTATTTATATGTTTAATTATTACAAGTGGTAATAGAGTTGTTTTTGTATCAGTGAAATCAGCTTATTCGATGGCACGGAGGATGGTATCGCGACCCAATGCGTGGCCCGGTTCTACGACCAGATCTGGCGTGTGGTCGCTCCCGAGAGGGTCCGGGTTATGTACAGCCCCAATGGCGGAACCTTGGGGTGTATGTTATAGATTGGTTTAGGCTTGGGAATGAGGACGGAGACAATAGGTGGTGGAGGTGGATTCAGAGTTAGTTGTGAACTTCTTGCGATCATGGGTAACAACGCTCATCCATTATTTTTCCTGGTACGGTTGAGTCATAGCTTTCTTTCAAGAGATTGGTTAGTTTAGGTACTCCTGTGTATATGGAAGCTAACTGTCTTGCAGACGGGTTCGCAAACTATGCGGTTTCTTTACCGCTTGGGTTTTAGTTGTTAGACGTTTGCTCGGATGTTTGTAGCTCGATGTAAATGGATGATATAAACGGAGTGTCTTGTTCGCGGAATGTCCTTTGTATTCTTCTTTCTTATTGGATAAGTCATAGGAGACTGGATAATAAAAACAAAAATAACTTGGGTTTGTCTCTTATCCTGGATAATCATAGGAGAATACTATAATCGTAGGAGAATACTTTGTCTCCTATCTATTCAAAAAAAAAAAAAAAAAAATCAATATAACATGGGTTTGAAACTTTTCTCCAACATTGAAAAAAACATTTTTGTATTAAATGTGCATGAACTTTTCTCCCAAAATCCTTGCAAAAATACTATAGTTTATTAATATTTAATATTTTAATAACAAAAATATAATAGTATTAAATGAATAAAAGCTCAGCATTCAAGGGTGAACTCCACGTCTGCACCCAACCAAAATACCAATTCGGTCCTCATAACCTTTCCTTGCTCATCACTGACCCTCAAGGGTGGAGGTCTTTAGACGATATTTGTTTGTTGCGAAAAATACTGCCCGAAGTCTAAATCGCTCTCAATAATTCAAACTAATCACCTAAATCTGTTAGCCAAGGTTATTTTGCGATCTTCAACGCGTACCTCATCGGTTGTGGTTTGTACTTCCCTCTCTCCCCAACTTTAATTTCATATCTTCCTCACTTGTATTTTTTTTCTCAAATAATTCTAAACATGCTTCATATGATACTCTGCTCCATCACCTTAGCCAAAAAAACAATCTTTTCATTAACCCTACCAGAACTTCTTGAACTCCTCTTAGTCCGAGGTACTAGTATTGCAGAAAACGTTAGGATAGTTCCTGCTGCTGACATATGCTTGAACTTTTGCCTTCCCTTGTCAGACCTTCAATGGCGGAAGTATTGGTTTTTATTCAATATTGACTCCATGATGAGATCATGGCCAGTCCACTTGAACCACATGAAGACGAGGAGCTGCTTGAAGCCGAGAACACACATCAACCAAACTCGCCAGTTTCAGAACAGCTCGTACCGGAGGAAGCATTGTTCGTCCCGGCGGGTCTTTTGACAAGATCAAGAACTAAGAAGTTCAACCAAGCCATCAATGGACTACTAAAGGAGCTAAACAAAACTCAAGAAGACGTCGTTCAATCCTCACTCATAGTGATCACGGCTCAAGAGGATCGGTAAATGGTTAAGTGTTGCTTATGCACTCTTTTTCCCTTGTCAAGTTTTGTCCCAATGGGTTTTTTTGACAAGGTTTTTAATGAGACTTAAGTAATATTTTCAAGCCCCTTTATCAATCCAATTCCTGGTCCAAGGCCCACTCACCAAGCCTTGGCCCATTTTCTCTTTTCTCTTTTTTTTTTTTTTTTTGTCGTCACTTTTCTCTTCAAACTTTGCATTTATTACTTTTGTTATTTCCAAGACTCTTGCATTAGCTTGCATGAGTGTAATTTCCAAGACACTTGTGCATGCTCTTGCATGTTTTCTCTTCTCTTCTCTCCTCTCCTTTGTCCTCCTTTCTCTATATAAACCCCATGTATCTCTCATTTGCAAGCATCAAACATTTTAATCAAAAACTCTCTCTTTACTTCTTTCATCCGAAAAGTGTGTAATATCTTTTCAACTTGTTTTCTTCTTAGTGTGAAATATCTAAGTTGGATTCAAGCTTGTAGTCTAAGAGTTTATCATCACTCTTGGAAGTACATCTCATTCCCCCTTTCACTCCGCTGCATCCATCCGATCTCGTCATCATCGTCTTTCCGCTGTTTGTTCAAGATCTATCCATTCTTCACCGTCAATATCGCCACTTCCATTTCAAAACCAGCAAAGTGGTCCTTGGAGCATAGATTCACGGCCAGGAATCTATCATGTGGTATCAGAGCCACTTTGTAAACAGGTTTTGAAGTTTCATCCCGAAATTTCCGTTTTCCAGATTTTTGTTCAATATTGCATGAATTTTATAAAATAATTGGCTTGTTCAAAAATTGTGAAACCAATTGCGTTTTAACCAGTGAAGAGTCTAATAGTTTCTAAAATTAATTTCAGAATTTTTATAGTCGATTTGATATTTTTCCCGATCCGTTTAGTTTGGTCTGTTTTTGGACTGTTTACTTGTTAAATTTCTGATTTTTCAGGTACAATGGTAACAAGTGAAGAAGAAGAAGAGTCATATACATCTAGCCTTGAAAGGAAGAATTTGAAATTGGACACATCCGCCATGACAACAATGATCGATGAAAAGATTAGAGCTCTACATTTGCATGAAGTCAATCCGGAACCAAAGCCACCATACAACACAATTATATCAACACGGAGCAGTCCACAAAAACTCTCTCACACTCCCAAATCGAAATATGTGTTTTATTCCGATTCTCAACCGGCTAATGAACCCTATAACTTTTCCGGAAAAAGTGACTACATAAAATGGGAGGAGTGCATGAACGAGTGGTTTCACTACAACCACATCCTCAAAGAGAAGAGATTAGCATATGCCGTTAACCAACTCGTTGGAGACGCAGCCAATGGTGGTTGCAAGAAGTTGATTATCGCTGGTACTACAAGAAGCCGAGTATCACCTCGTGGAAAGATCTTAAGAAGCTGCTAAGGAATAAATATGCTCCACAAGCCAATGCTAAGAAACCAGCCTTATCCCAATATCACAAGAAGATCCCAACACCCGTGGAGGCTAAGACGCAGCCAGACCTTGTTGAGAAGTTGATCAAGCACTATTAAAAAAATGGAGGATAAGCCAACATCTCAACCGAAGAAGGTGACGGAACAAGTTTTCATTCACAAGCAAAGTCTGAAAACATCATTTGAATCAAGCGGTGAACCGAAGCAATGTCATGGTACGAAGCATGAGAATGACAACGCAAGAAGGGCGACGAAAGAGAAAAAAATGATGCTCCAAAAAGAAGCTAAGTATACTCTTTCCTCTTTCCAATCTGAGTTTGTGCTTGATAAACCAACCAAATTTGAACCAGAGCAACCGTGTAGCATTGTTTCATTTTCACAGGTTCATGCAGAAGCAACGCAAAGAAAAACACAAAGGAGTATGTCGTTGGAACTGCCATCTAACTTTGAGCCAGAAAATGTTCCTATGCCATTTCCTTGTGACTATCCAAAAAAGCACTGTAAGGAAATTGATTTCATTAGGAAATGTCCTAATTTGTTTGTGTTGATTTCTATTCATGATGAAACACGTTTTAGTTTGAAAAATTTGGAAGAATTTTG